ATGCCTCCTTGAGATGACCATAGCGCTTACAGTAAGCGCACTGCGATCGCCTACTAGGTACTGACGACGGCGTAATCGATGACTGAGCACTGCTCGATGGTAACATGGATATTGCCGGTTTGACGTCTACCGTTGTATTCGATGGGCGAGACTCATTAAGGATGTCTTCTACACGTCTCGCTTGCGCTATTAATTCTACAAACGAAGTAAGACTAGAACGAGGTACCTTTTCGCGTATTCTTTTGTTTAACAAGCCATACGTCATGTCTAATTGTACTTCTTCCGTGAGAGAACGTTGCGGAAGTTGCGCGAACAATGCTCTGATGTGACAGACGAATAAATCTGTAGGCTCGTTAATCCGCTGTTCGCGTTCAAAAATAATTCTATAGATTCTGTGCGCGGGCAGCCTAGGCCCGAAGGTCTGCTTTAGAGATTCTAATGCGTCTTGCCATGTCGGGGTGCTGTCTTCGACGCCTTGCCACCAAGTAGCGGCTATCCCCGTCAATAACATGGGCAAACCTCGCAGCGCGACATCGTCGCTCATATTTACGCATGATTTGTATACTTCGACAGCATCGATGAAAGCTAATACGTCGCTTGTTTTGTGTCCATCGAACCGCGTAGAGCACTTCGCAAAGTTGCCGGAAATATGTGTAGGAGTACTTACAGGAGCTGCTTGACTTAGCCTGTTTATCAATAGCAGTAGCTGCTCTGTGGTCATGGTGATCGAAGCCTCAGCGGCAGTTGCAGCTGGCGGCGGCGGTAGGGCGTGACCCTGACCCGCAACAACGGCATCACTGTGCCACGAGGTAGTCGTTGGCGGCGCCGGCGCGGCCTGCAGGTCGCGCGGCGTCGATTCCGGCGCGCCATCTACCGGTAACAACGGCGGCGCCACGCCCGCAGACGAAACACCGGCCGCGGCAGACGCGGGACTCGCAGCACGTGATCGCGTTAACACCATAATGACACAGTAAAACACAGGTCACAGTTCTTGAACAAAAAGTACTTTAACCTAACTC